ATTTAGTTCCACATCTTATCTGGGATTTTTGTGCTTTTCTTCCTCTATTGCCTTATCAAGGTCCCCTTTTCACAATTCACAAGTACACAGACCATGTCATTCACTGTAGTGATAAGGCAAGTCCTGAGCAGTTCAGCTCCAGTCTTGTCCTTGGATGTTAAAACGACAGCTTAGCACCTCTATTACTTTTTATCTGTGAGCTATTGGCCTTGCCAGCACTCCAGATAAGAAAGTCTCACACTTGCCAGCGGTGAAAGAGAAAATCAGGAGTAAAAAAAGCCTAAAAGAACACTGGGGCTGGGCTACACACACACACACACACACACACACACACACACACACACACACACACACACACAATGGGCTAGTAGGAAGCTGTTTGGAAAAATGGTTGGGACTTGCCATTCACCAGAAACAAAGTTATAAATGGGAAGCTGGTGCGATTTAAGTGATTTACAGCGGAAACTCCGTTTTCATTTTCACCTCCCTGGCGACACTGTAAACCTCAGAAGGATTAGAAAAATCCACCACTTTATCTCATTTTAATTGAGATGTTAAATGAGCTCCAGTCAAAATAAATTTGTCTACCTCACACTAAATTCTCATCGATGAGACATTAGCCACCAAAAGTCAAGCAGACACTATCCCATGTGTTGTACCCATGGGTATGCACGTGTGTGTGTGTATGGAAAAACAACAGCATAAGAGGATCAGCAATTCACTAAGCCTGTTTCTGGGGTGATTGTTATTTGCTAGTAAACTTTGGGAAATTAACAGAAGTCTGTGCTCATTTTCTTAGTTCATCTTGTGCCACCATAACAGGATGCCTGAGGCTGGGGAATTTAGAAACAACAGAGATCTGTTTCCTATAATCATTGAGGCTCAGAAGCCCTAGGTCAAGGGGCCCCCATCTGGCGAGAACCTTTTAGTTGTATCATTTCATAGCAGAAGACAGGAAGGAACAAGAAAGCACATGAGAGAGAAAGAGACCAACCTTCACGGCAAGCCCACAGTCAGAATAGGAAACGGAGGCCCACTGTGACCCTGTCAGAAAAGCAGGGCAGAGCTTCCGGGCCACCATGTTGCTCTTCCGGGTTCTACTTCCCACCTCAGCATGTTAGAGATAAAAGGTTCCAACACATGATGGTGGCAAACATGGATTAAAAGTGCAGGCTATCTTTCCTGGCACTTTGCTTTCAGTTTTATTTCTTACACACTGCAACAGAATCAACACAGGGCTGTGAGGAACCTAAAATCATATTTAGGTCCCCATCTTCCTAGACAGATACACACCCACTTGTACATCCCCCTTCCCTTTGCTCTCTGAAAGGTTTGGGAAGTCTGTCAAACCATTGCCCTGGTTTCAATTTCCATGTAGGAGAGTCCCTTTCTTTTGACTGCATAGTTAGGGCATACTGGGTTGAGGCACATACAGATTTAACCCATGGCACATCTTTTCCATGCGATGTCTTTTAGGCTCAATGGTCACATGACTTTCTATACAAGTTTAAGCCACACCCATAAAGCACCCTCTGTGGTCTATTACTTCAAAGTAGAACAAGATCTTAAGAAGACTTGCTTAGCAATCTGTGGGAAGAATTTCCCAGAGATCCAGAAATCCCCCTGCTGTGGCTTCAGTATTTCCCTCTACGTTCATGTGTGGCAGACTTAATCCCCAAGGCAATGATATTGAAGGTGGGATCTTTAGGAGGTCATGGAGGCTTGGGCCTCATGAATGGATTAATGCCATTCTGGCCCAAACAGGTCCCTGACAAAAGGATCAATCTGGCCTTTTCAACTTCTCCACTGTTCTTCTTCCCTTGCCCTTCTCTGTCCCCTCTCCCTCTCATTCAGTGTCTTCTGCCACATGATGAGGTACAAGAAGGCCCTCCCTCCCCAGATGTGGGACCTCTGATGTTGAACTTCCCAGACTCCAGAATGGTACTCAAAACACATCTCTGATTGTCATAGGTTTCTTGGGTGTTCTGTTACGACAGCAGGAAATAAACTAAAAGCCTCCCCCCTATTTTCACAATTTTCTTGCTCACCTAATTTGATAACCTTGTTTTAGTGATTACCTTTAAAGGATATTTCCCAAACTTCAAATTCATGAACACAGAAATGAAGCTTTTTTTCTTGCTATGCTCATATTTATGTGGTTAACCCAGTGTTTCATTGAATTGTAGAATTCATCTGGACCTACTGAGGGTCAGCACTGGAATGGAAGGAACACACATGCAAAAGGGTGTGCTAGGGAGGGGCTAGTGGCCTCCAGATGAGTCCTAGGCCACCATTGTCAGTAGGGTTTACTAAGAACACAGTGGATGATAGAGACCCCAGGGAGCTGATAAAGGAAAGTCAAGTGAAAGAGCTTTGATTGTATTCCCAACTTGCCTGTTGAGAAACTGGATCCAGCCAATGTGCTGGGAACACATTAAGGGCTTTGGGAAGACTGCTTGGGGGGATGCCTAAGCAGAAGTGTGAATAGACCGACCGAGCAGAGGAAAGAGAGAGATCTGGACAGTGAGGGGAGCAGCACATAAAAGAGCAGAGAGCAAATCTGCAGTGAATCAAGCTCCTAGACTGGAAAGGAGAGGAGGAAACATAGCAAGTTGAAGAGGGGAGTGGAGGCCAAACACAGAAAAGACTCCAGAGTTTACTCTCAACATTTGAACTTTATTCCCTGGACAATGGGACCTGTGAAAGGAATCAGGTAGGGGAGTCACAGGCTCTGATTGGAGCTTTGGGGAGATCACTTGACTTCATTGTGAGGCAAGGACTGGAATGCCAGATATGGCCTTTATCCAAGCAGGAGCTGACAAGGCCTGCATCTACATGACTTCTGAGGAGACAGAGACAAGGCACATTCAGGGGCTGGCTTCAACACAACTTGCGGATTGGCTACATATGGAGGTGGTGGTAAGAGTGAAGTAGGAGAAAGTTCCAGTCTGGAAATACAGATGAGATGTAAATACCAGTATAGAAGTGTAAATTCAATTTACCGAAGAAGATTAAATGATTTAGGACAGGAAAAGTGAGGCTAACACTGCCGAGATGGTAACATGTCTGATTAGCTCTGCCAAGTGAGTGACATCTCTGGAGCAAGTCACAATATTCACAGCACCATGCTTACATATAATGGAATGTGTGCAATGATACTTTTCTTCCTTGTCAAAAACTTCAAAGCACTAAACTTTGATTTTCCTTCTGTGAATTAGAAGGGTTATACTAAACTGAAAAATCCATACCCTGACTGTAGGTCATAACCAAACTCATAATTTAGAATTGAGGTCCCATAATTACAAATATATTTAAGAAAGATTCATGTATTTTTATGTGTATGTGTTTGCCCGAATGCATACTATGTGCATACAGTGCCTCTGGAGGCCAGAAGAGGGCATCAGATTCCCTGGACTGGAAGTTACAGGTGGTTGTGAGTGCCATGTGGGTGATGGAAACAGAATATGGGTCCTCTGCAAGAGCAGCCAGTACTTTTAACCACTGAGCCATCTCTCTAGGCCCCCAAATACCTCTGGTATATCATTTTAAGTTTGTTTTGTTATTTTGTGGGTTTTTTTTTTTTTTTTGGTCTTTTTGAAACAGGGTCTCCCTATAGCCCCAGCTAGCCTGGAACTTGCTATGTAGACCAGGCTGGCCTCAAACTCACAGAGATCAGCCTGCCTATGCCTCCCGAGTAATTGCTGGGATTAGAGGTGTGCACCACCAAGCAATATGTCATTTTAAAAGATGATGGGGTTGATGCTATAGGCAGTTGGAAAGAAGCATAGTTGATACCTTATCTAAGTAGGGTTAAGTAAGGAGGTCAACTTCAGAGTCTTCTTTCTCCATGAAAGGCAGTGCTCACATGGATGATTTGCTGAAGTGGAAACCAATGGGCATGGGTTAAAGTCCCAAGTCCACTAGCTATCTCATTCCTCATCAAGGAACTAGTTAAGCAGCCCCAGTCGCAGACATGTGTGGGTAGACAGCATGCAGCCAACAGCCTATGGAAATGGAACTGTAAAATTAGTTTCACCCCATCCTCCAATGAATTAGGTAGCTCTTCAAGATCTATTACCTGCCCTTCCCCCAGATGGAGGGGCTAGCGCAGCATCTCTGAAGTCTCTATAACTTTCAGGGTCCAATGACAACTTCAGTTGTCTGCTGGAGTGAGTAGAGACAGACTTCACCGAGAGGGAAGCCTAGTTTGACTACATCCTCCCCCTCAACATACTCCAAAGACAAACAAGTGCTTTTAAAGCCTGATAGCCTTGTCAATCAAGACCTGTCTTCACTCAAAGACCAGGTAGATAGACAAGGGTGCATATATTGCTTCTCTTTCAAGGTTCTAGTAAATATTACTCTGATTATTTTATTACTCTTAGCTATTGCCTGGAATCTGATGGCCAACACACAGGTTTATTAAAATAAAATAAATAAATAAAAAACACTGCCACCCAGCTCCATTGTAACTCAAGATATCATATCCAAACCCATAATGTTTATATATTGATTTTTTAAAATTCCAATTTATGGAAGTCAAACCCCCCGCCCCCGCTGATATCAATATTAAAACTGCTTTCATCAAAGCCTTTGTTTCATCTGCGGATGGTGTTTTATTAACTTGGCATTGAAATGTTTCCCGATAACAAAACTAATTTGGCTTCACTCCCCGAAGTTTCCCCCCAAGTAAATCCAAAGCTGAGAACTAGACTGGTATTCTATTCACTCAGCCGTTCTCCCGCTCCCTTTGGCCCTTCCACTCCATCTGGTCTATGGTTCCCAGGATGGAGCGGAGACTTCTGGCTGGACCGCCTGGAAAATGTAACTCGGAATTTCCTACAATCTCAGCTCCACTTTCTCTTGTGCTCCCGCCCGGAGCTGGAGCCTTGTTGTTGTCACGTGGCCGCGGGGTGCCAGGCGGGCCAATGGGCGCGAGTCCGCCTCCGCGCCCCGCCTCGCCACTGGGCAGCGCTGGGACTTCGCGCCCCGCCACTCCCCGCCGCAGGAAAAGTTTCTTTGCGGGCGATCGAGCTCGCGGGTGCCGCTCGGGCTGTCCCTGCCGCGCTGGCCGTCCTTCCCCGCTGGTTGTCCTGCCGCTCCAGGGCATGCGAGGCCTTGGCCCTAGGGAGTGAAAGAAGCAGAGCCCACAGGCGCGGAGAGGAGCAGGCGGCCTCGATCCGCGCGTCCAGGCTCGGCTGGAAGCGGGTTGGCCAGTCCGGGCGGGCACAGGGCCGCGGAGCCTAGGGCCGCGGCACGCAGGACGATGGGCGCGCGGAGGCTCCGAGCGACCGCGGTGGTGCTGGGACTGCTGCTGTGCGCGGGGCTGGGGCGCGCGGCCCGGGAGGAGCACCGAGGCCGCCTGGAGGATGCGGAGCAGCGCCCGTGCCCGGTTCCCTGCCGCTGCTTCGGGGACCTGCTGGACTGCAGCCGCCGCCGGCTGGAGCACCTTCCTCAGTCGCTCCCGGCCTGGGTCGCCCGGCTGTGAGTATCCTTCTCGCGGGGCGAAGGGGATGCACCCCCGGGGGTGCTCGCGTGGAGTGACCGTGGGTGGAGCCCCGCGGGGACTCAGTCTCCCTCCCCGGTACCACGCAGGTGGGGGCTTGGCGCTGGCCACTAGACTGCTCCTGAGCCGGGGGAGGGGACACTGGCGACTTGCAGGGGCCACCCAGACTCCGCAAGTTTATTTCTGAGTGCATGTGAGAAACTGGCCCGGCTCTAGCATCTCCCTGGGTTCGGATCCCGGCCTGCCAGTCAGGGCACGCAAGCCTCCCTGCTGTTGGGCCGCTGCTCTAGCGATGGTACGCATACTTTTGTTCTCCTTCCTGTGCCAGATTTCACATTAGCAGACCGTCAGCCTCCCTCCTGGGCCACTTGGTAACACGTCCACCGTCCGGTGAGAAGTTGGGTGGAAAAATAGATCAGTAGATAAGGAAAGGGAGGAAGTAGGCGTTTCAGAACCGAGGACTTGATCTGGTTTCTGTAGCTCCTAGACTGGAAGGTTTAGGGAGAGCGCCGAGTGCTGTTATGCAAGTGTTTGGATTTTCGCCGAAATACAGATTTTGGATTTGAGTCTGAAAACCTGAAACCACTGCCAGCTCTGTGGAGGAACAAGAAAGAAAATGTAATATCCTTGGAAATGCGGCCCTTTCCAAATGTCAACTCACTGTATTCTCTCCTAACCCCTAATTTTGTTAAAATTGGAGGGATGTTTAAGCCATGAGCAAAAAAGCAAACGTTGTATATTTTTAAGTAGTCCCGTTTAAAAGAAATCGAATTGTACTTCATACTTAAGATTCTTCGATTTGGGCCTAGTGGAATTGCAGTGGAAATTCTCAGTTCTTAAACAACGGCAGACCATCGAAGGTCTTAACAATGGTGGCTGAAGGGTTTGACCAGGTAGTTGAAGAAACTGCTTTTATATCAGTGTGCTAATCTAAACTCTTTTATTTGTCAATTATAATTTGTTGACTATCAAACTGTATGCTCTTTTAAAAACATGGTTTAATAAGAAAATAGAATTGAAGAGAATTGGATTGATAGTTAATCGCTGATCATGGTATGTCTCATTTAGTAGTTTTTATTACACATGAAGGAGGAGATAAGGACTTTAACCTAAAGCAGGAAGACTTTCAATTAGTTGTGGCTAATTCTATTCAATTGCCTCTAGTAGAGGTCACGCTGCATTCATGAAATGTGAATGGCTCTATTGACAACATATGGAACTGAGCATGTGAATGCCTAGAGGCAAACACCTAGGAATAATGCAGGGACCAGAGAGAAAGTCAAGGCAGTGCTTCCCCCATGCACTTAGAGATCCTTCTTCCCTAAATCGACCTGTAGTCAATAGTTTCTCAACGAGTGGCCCACTGCATGATCCCAGAGTGCAGTTTTATTTTTTATGGACTTAGATGTCTTTCAAAGAAATAACTGTGTGAACTTAGATGTCTGTCAAAGAAATAACTGTGTGGACCTTGATTAGAAGTTGAGTTGAACTCAACTTCTAAGCAGGATTCAATACCTACTTAAACATTGTCTTAAAAGTAGCTGACCTAATTAGGATTTTGTTTTGCAGATAATTTGGTGGCACACTAAAAACAAATTACAGTTTATTTGGTTAGCACAGTCTTTAATTACATTTCCGCCAGCAGTAAATTGTCTCAGTACAAGTCCACATTCCTTAAATGTATGTGAAAATAAGTTCCACTTGTATAAATAAGCCGGCAGTCTGTTGTCAGAAGCCCTGCTGTGATCACTCATTGAACAGCCTGTCATTCTTGTACTTTTGTGACTTCTGACCATCCTTGTAGGTGTCACTGAACCATGTGGTCTTAAGTTCTTACTGTCAGTTTCTTTTGTTTGTGCCCAGAGCTCTAGAGGTCTCTCCTTCACCTCTTGAGAGGAACAAAAAGCAGGGTGCCACTGAGTTTTACCCTGGTATTTGGCATCTTGCAGTAGGAGGTGTGTGAAGCTGCTAGTTAAATTTTACATAATTAGAAAAGCTGTTAAGTAGAATGTTTCAAAGATCAGGGAGTAAGTAGAAAAATGCATCTTGCTCCTCACAGCTTCTCTTTCCACGGTAATTAAAATAGCAAAGGTTTGTCTTTGGACTTGTTTATGAAAGCACTATTCAGAGAGAGTGTGACGTTTGCCTTTTGTTTCCTTTGTTGCATCTGCCAGTCAAGGAAGTCTGCTGCTGCGTGAGTGCATGTGTATATCTTTTGCACTCTCTCCAGTTGTGACTTATTGCCATAGACGGGCCTTGTGGGGAAAGCCGTATAGTTTGAGCTGAACAATAATAATATTGTACTCGGTTCTCCTTTCAGAAATAACCTGTTGAAACAGTAACTGCTTGGAACCTTGCTCTAAAACTTTGTGCCTCTAGACTTTTGAACCTGAAGAGGAGGGCTTGTTAAAATATGCTATTTAACCAAAAGGGGAAAATGGCTTGATTGCCAACCTGAGTTCAAGTATTATTAAATTCTCACTGGAATTTCCGATTATTTATCTTATCATGTAGACATATTTAAGTTCTCAAGAGGGCTGACGCAAAAGTCGGAAAGGTGGTTTGTGCTGGTGTGACTTCTTTGGTGTTGCCTGTTATAAATCTGGCACAGACTGGAATTGGGGGTGGGGAAGGGCTTACAGTCCTTATGGTTTTCACAGCTGTTTTTCTATATTTTCCAGACTAAAACTTGAGCATAGCAGGCTGATTTATGAGTCGCTTTGGATCAGTGTCTTAAAACAGCTACAGCCTGGCTTTTTGTTTTTCGGCTTTCCAGATTTCTGCTGAATTAGCAGCCCTGCAGGCCCCAGTGGGGTTGATAAGAAGCAATGCTGTATTTGTATTTTCAAATTTAAGTTAGAAGTCAGATTTTCCAAATGTTTAAAAGGAAGAAAATGATATCTGGAACCAAACGTTGTCAAATTAATGATTTTCACATATGGTCATTGGCTTGATAAAATGCAGAACGACTCAACTCTACCACACACAAGGACCTGGAGTTTTCAAGTCTTTGCCCAGTTGCTTTCTGGGTAAATAGTTCACAATCTTCTACCTCACCATCTTTCCCATTTACTAACCTCACTACAGCAAGTCTTTATAAAAGGTTCCATGGAGAAAATGTTCATTCATGGAGTTCTGCAAAATGAAGAATCTGCCCTTCTTATTGAATAGTTTATGTCCTGGGTTTAAGAAAAACACTGGCGTTGTATGTCTGGAATCATTCTTTAGTGGCCTAGTCATTAAAACAATATATGGAAAATTTAGGAAAATGTGTCATCCTCTAACTTTAGGGTAATGATTTCTGAAATGTATATTACATTAAGATCTAAATTTAGGTACATTAAAAGTTTCATGGCTTTAAGTATTTAGCAGTAAAAGTCACTTAAGGGGTGATTTTTTTTCTTCTCCCACATATAATGTGGTTTTAATAGTACACGGTGCTTAAGGATGGAAGCATGTTGCAATAACTGAAATATTTAAGGCTGCCAGCTCTTGCTGCTAAATCAGAAACTAGTGCTCCCCCAATGTGAACTGGGCTCTGAAGGCAGTTTCTCAGTTTAAAGGTCTTCTGTTGGGGAATCTCATCCTATTATTGGTGGAAAAAAGTTAAGCTCTCAAATCTCTTCTCCCAGGTTCTCCCTGTGAAATAGCCCTTACAATAATAGCAAAGAGTGGTTTTTAGCCTTTTTTTTTTTTTTCAATGTAAAGGAAAATGTACTGTATTAAATGTAAATACCAGATTGGTTCCCCTGTGTTTTCAAATACAGGAAACAATGGGGAGGCAGGTTCAGCTTTCTTGAGTTAAGTAGGTCCAAATGACTTGCTATGAGACTTGGGCTAAAGTCCCAGGTGAAGGACTTTCTTTGGTTGTATTTTAAACCATGTGGGCAATCTGTGACTGTCTGGGGTGCTAAAGGCACACAGGTTTTGTTTGAATGCTAACGTGAGTTGTTGGGCTCACGGCTTCCTTGATGAACTCCAGATGGACCTGGGCTGGCCTCGGAGGGAAAGTGTCTGGCTGTAGCCAACGTGGTGAGCATGCACAGCAGTGGCTGTAATTGCAGGATTTTTATAGTTTAAAGACTGCGCCAGATTTTTTTTTTTCATGTTATAACTCTACCAGAACAAATCTACTCATGTCTGTTACTGTCTGGTAGGTCTTTAAGCAAACATATTTCAAATCAAATCTTTGCAGGTTCCTTTTTTTTTTAAGGTGAAACATACGAATCCAAGTTTACTCTCAAAACAAAAACTGGAAAACTGAAAGCATCTTTGATTTCTAATCGTTGACTAAGGGCTAAGTAACACCGCTTCCCTGGAGGTGTGATTTCTATTTTTTAATTGTTTGTGGGAGGGCATTCTGATGCAGGAAACAGGCTCCATGCTTTTGATAAACTATCTTTGGTTTTTCAAAACTTGAGTTATTTAAAAGTCTTCATTTTAAACACTGAAGAATTAATTTAGTAACTGTCAGTTTACCTCTCCCTGAGGGGAGTTTTGAAGTCATACTGTGGCTGAGCCTAGTTTCCAGTGGGTTATTCAGCCATTTCATCTTCATTACACAGTTTGGAAGCATATAGGCAGGGTATTAAAGCATGCAGAGAATATAACCAAATACACTTGTCAGATTTTGTTCCCTGTTTCAAATCTCAGTGCTCAGTTGATTTCCTAACCCAAAGTACTGTATATAAAACGAGTCTGTTGCTTTTAGTGGTACTGATGGCCTGTGGAAATTGTTACTAAGTTAGACTGAGCCTTTGAGTAAAAACCACATTTGTTTTAGTGACTGAAATATATTTACAGGTGCTTGTACAATCTGCCTAACATTAAATGGTTGAGGTGGTTTAAGTCGTGTAAGTTCCTAGATACTGTGATTCAGGGAATTTGTGAATGCAGAGGATTCAGGTTGTGGAGAATCTTTTGAGCATGTACATATGTAAAGACAGACAGACAGACATGCACGTGTGCATGCATACACGCACCATAGTTGAAATAATCTAGTGCCTTAATCCAGAGAAACAAATATGCATGGAAAGCAACCTGTATTCTGTTTGACTGCAGAAAGGACATTGGTATTTCATTCTGTGATAATAAAAACATTTCTGCAGAAGCTTCGTTTCAGCAATCTGCCCCATTAACCACTTTTGGGCATCATGGGCTATGATGTCATCATATCAAGTTGGGAGTGGGGAGATGGGAGGGTGAAGCAAACTTCAGTTCACAAAAGATCTGTTCACCGTGTGCCAAAAATATCTCTTAAAAATGCTGTGGGCTTCAAGGGTTTGAATCTGCCAGCCTCTTAAATTAAGTTTGTCTTCAGAGTTTGTAGTTTTGAGTTTGGGATTTGGGTTGTCCATTTGTAGACAGAGTGGGCCAGTTATTTCTCTGCTTGTCACTGCTGTTGCTAGAGCTAATTCATAGCACACTCAGCCTGTGGATCATTAAGCACTATTAGTGATTATTGGAGATGTCTTATAATTTTATTTTTTTGTTTTCTTACAGGGACCTAAGTCACAACAGATTATCTTTCATCCAGACAAGTTCCCTGAGCCACCTTCAAAACCTTCGAGAAGTGTGAGTCCTAGGTCTTTCTGTTTGACGTTTGCATGAAATATATTACCTCTCATACCATTTCAATGGAGGAATCTTTGGATTATGAGAAGTTATTGAAACCTTGAGCTTGGGAGTTGTATTTTAATAATGTATACTGTATTCACGTCTATGGATTGCAGATAACCTAATGAGCTTGTACTTTTCTTTTCCTTTTGGCATTCGTAGGAAACTGAACAATAATGAATTAGAGACGATTCCAAATATGGGACCAGTTGCAGCAAACATTACACTGTTCTCCTTGTAAGTGAATATCGACAACAATCACATGCATGTTTATAGTAGCCATGGGTAGGAGAAGTTCTGTATAGACTAGTGTAAGGATCGTATAAGTAGGATTTGAACCCTTCCTCCAGGTGTTCAATAAAGATGGCCTCTTTAACTTACTTTCCATTCCTAAATGTCAAGTATTTATTTATTTGTTTACTTCAGTGCTTGAGATGGAACCCAGGGCTTCGTGCCCGCTAGGCAAGAGCTCTTCCACTGAATTGTATCCCTTTGAGCATCCTTAAAACACTTTACACTCTGCTATCATTATGAAACCTGTCTCTGAGATTCAAAGAAGCTTCTTTCAGCTCCTGTATTTGACTGTAGTCTGTGGCCCAGTAGTTCTGGTATTGCTCAGTGGTTGGCATTGGACCTACGGATTATGCCTTTGTAGGGCCAGTGGAGAGTTATCAGACTTACATTCTGATGTTAATGGGAATTGGTAATATGCCATTGGGATATTGACTTTTAAGCATGGTGCTTGGCATGGCCATCAGGGTTTAGAAACCCCAACTGAAAATTTCAATGTAGTTAAAATTAAATCTTTAATTAAAGTCAGAAATACCATTGAATGTTATTTTGCAAATTCTTCAAATTCAATAAAAATTGTGTTAAATTTCCTGTGTTTTTAGTGCAGATAACATGCTTATATTCATGTATTGAGATATTTGGGGGATAACCTTGACTTTCCAGAATTTAAAGGTAGCATTGAATACAGTCCAGATTTAATTCTAAAAGTAAGCAGTTTCCCATCTTGATCTTGAATAATTAAAAAATATACTTATCACTGAAGTTAAAAACATGTTCCTTATACAACTTAATAAAAACCACCATTGTGCCTTTCTTCTGGTAAAGGTGTTGGGAGGGTTGAAATTATACAGTAAATTTCAGGAAAGCTGTTCAATTAATTAAAGTGATCACTCTCCAATTGCTTACATCTGGTGATTTATAGTGGTTTGTTTTTACTGAAGTCCCAGGTCAGCCAAGTCACCCTGCAGCCGCTCTGTCTGCTTTCTTCTGTTTGAATAAGACCTAAGTGACATTTGATACTGATGTGGTTTTTCCACAGATCAGAACCAGAAAGGAATGAAAGAAAAAGCAGTTGGTATTTAACAAATAAACACTGAATTAAAGAAATGTTTTCATACCAGTATTAATACTCATTTTCTTTGTCTTTTTTTATTGGAATCTGAATGGAATACTGGTTTTGGTATCTTGCATCGGGAGCCGTTCTTGTTTGACCAAAGGACCTTTTAAAAATCCCACTTTACCCTACTGGCTTTGTCCTGTGTTTTGGCACATTCTGTCAGCATGCTCAGGAGAGCCTGGCATAGTGGTAGCTGAGAGTCTGCAGTGTTTTGTGTTCGGAGTAGGGTGGGGCAGCAGTCTGTAGTTTGGTATGGTGTAGAGTTGAAAGCTTAAGAACTCATAAGGAAGTTCTGAAATTGTCTTGGAAATAAATAGCAATGATCACACCTTTTAAAGCAGTCACTTGTAATTAGAAATCTAGAATGCCACATGAAAAGTTACAAACCTTCAACATTTGGACTCTTCTCCATGCTACTTAGCCTGACTGAGTGTCCCATGTCAAATTAGCCTCAGTAATCTCAGTTCCTTTCCCTTTCAGCGGTTTGTATACCTGACCCATCATAGCTTTGTTCGACACATATAATGATGGGCCCGTTTATGACTTAGCTTACGAGGAGTCTGTGAGGACTGATTTATGTGATGAGCGTACTCATGCAACATGGGAGTGAAGAGTTCTTTTTATGACTCTGAAATGTCTTTAAAAATTTGCCTCTCTTGGTTGTTTCCTTCTACAAAGTCTTTATTTTCCCCTGCTGACTCTTTGGGATATTGTAACGTGCAGTTATTGTTTCTAAAGTACTAATATTTTCTATATTATCTTGTGTAGATGGAACATTTTCTTCTTCAGGGGAGAAACCCCTGAAAACATCTGAGCTAGATATTAATACTTAAATACATTTCTCAAACTTCAAAAAATGTATTAAACCACATGACATGACTCAGATTAGATACTTGCCTTCACGCTATATTTAAGTCACATGTTTTTCAAAGTAGTTTCCAGAATTTCTTGACCTCTGTGTTATCAGTGTTTTTTTCTTTCATTTTTTTTTTTTAGAATTTCTGAAAGCAAACGATTTATGGGTTATTTACACAAGTTAAATAATTTGAAATTTTGTGTTATAGAAAGGAAAAATTAGGGGCTGTAGAGATGGCTCCTAAAAGCACTTGCTGCTCTTTCAGAGGGCCTGAATTGAGTTCGCAACACCCGTGCCAGACAGCTCACAACACCTGTGACTTAAGTTCCAAGGCATCTGTTACATGTGGCATTCATTCACACAGAACACACAACTACACATAAATAAAAATAACCAATCAGTCAATCAATCATTGGCCAGATATGGTAGCATACACCTTTAATCTCAGCATTCAGGAGGCAGAAGCAGGTGGAGCTCTGTGAATTTGAGTCCAGCCTGGTCTACATAACAGACTAGCCAGGGCCACATAGTAAGACCTTGTCTCAAAAAAAAAAAAAAAAAAAAAAAAAAAAAAAGAGAGAGAGAGAAAAGGAAAGGAAGGAAAAGGAAAAGGGATCTCACAATCTTTGTATAAATTGTATGTATGATACACCATCTACATATGGTATAGGTCTTGAGGATATAAGATTATATTCCAGCTTCCTGCTGTTGTTGGTCTGGGCCACAGGCACGTCTCAGTTGGAGTGACTGGCTTTAGAGATGACCACCTGATTAGATTGTTCAGTACTTTTAGCTGTAGAAGCCAGAAACTAATGTTGGGTCAAATGATATCCCATGTCCCAAAGACAAATTCAGATAGACTGTGCCAAAGCCCTGGGAAAATGCTAAGGACCTGGGATGCTGGGTGGAGGGTCATTGAACATTGCCCTAGTTTGTTTCTCCATTGCTGTGACAAAACACTCTGACCACTACCAACTTGAGGAGGAAAGGGTTTATTCAGCTTACATCTCCCAGGTCACAGTTCATCAGGGAGCCCAAGGTAGGAACTCAGGGCAGGAACCTGGCGTCAGGAGCTGGAGCACAAGCCATGGAGGAACACTGCTTACTGACTTGCTCCCCTGGCCCCTGCTCAGCCTGCTTTCTTTTGCAACACAGGCCCACTTGCCCAGGGGTGGCACCACCTACAGTGGGCTGGGCCCTCTCATATCACTCAACAATCAAGAAGGTGCCCCATGGACATGGCCACAGGCCAGTCCAATGAAGGCAATTCCCCAGTTGAGGCACCTTCAACCAAGGTGTGTCAAGCTGACACTAAAGCTGACCAGTACAAGCATCCCATTAGCAAAGCTTCTCTCTAACATGCTAAGGGGTCTTTTAGAATGCAAAAGACCTGAGTAGATGTTTTCCCTAAAGTCCCAAACAGAATTAGCTCAGAACTCACTGGTATTGGTTTGCTAGGGACAGGGCTTGGGTTGTGTGTATATCTTGGGTTGTGTCTTTATTATTTTTTTTCCCTCTCATCATTTCATAGCTATAATAGGATAGGTTTTCTTTTTTCTTTCTTGTTTTAAGAAATGGAATAATCCTTGCAGTGAGGAAAACTGTTGACCTAGCTAGCGTAAGCAAGCTGCTTCTCTCCATGTGCCGGTTTCTGTTCTGTGCTGTGGCATGACTTTAGATATCAAGCGCTTTTGAAACCTATAACATGAGTAAAAGATAGCAACATGAGTTAGGGACAATCGACTTACGGTTACATGGTTGCTGAAAGAGCCGGTGGGGTCTGACTCTTGATGCCGAGTGTGCTGGAGGTAAAAAATGTTAGGCCGTTGGCTGGTGGAGTTGCCTCTGGGGTTCTTGTTAAAAATGAAATTCCCTGACCTCATTCCTTGAGCATCTCTGTTGTTCTGTTGGTGGGTTTGAGTGGGTTTAGGAGAATCCATTGTAACCCAGCTGTCCTCTGCGTTTTGATCAGCTCTAATTAGTAGGCTCAGTTCACAATCAAATAGGATTTTTTTTTCCTTTATCTCTTAAAAGTAGAGTGCCTGTCCCAAGCCCATCATGTTCTTTATCTAGAAATGACATTGTCATCCTTTCCATGTTCTTGTGTGGAGGTGTACATGTGTGCAATGTGGAAGCCAGAGGTCAGTGTTGAGTGTCTTTTTCAGTCGCTCTCTACCTTCCCCTTTGAGATGGAATTGCTCAGTGAACCTGGAGCTCACCAATTTGACTGGATTGACTGACCAGGAAGCCTTGAGGCTCCTCCTAAGCCCTGGACTCATAAGCATGTGCTGCTATGCCTGGCTTTTAATGTGGGCCCTGGGAATCCAAACTCAGGTCCCTATGCTTGTACACCAAGCATTTTACTGAGCTATCACCTCAACTGCCCTCCCCCAGTGAAATTCTTATGAGCTCTGAATATCTTTTCTGGTAGCACTTTGAAATGTGGAATCCAATAGAAAGTGGAAAGATCCAGTGAAGAGGGTTTTGGTTTTGTTTTCTTTTGTTTGAAGATTTATAACAGTGTGATGATCTAATCCAGTATTTGAAAATGTTGGTTTGGCTTTTTAGTGTAGAGCAACTTAGTGGTAGTATATGGGTAATGAGGGGGAGAGACAGCTAGACCCTGTAGCAGAATGGAAGTGTGGTGGTACCCTCTTCTACAGTGGGGTCAGGTCAGTAGAACGATGATTAAAAAACCAAGCTCAAGGCTGGGGACACAGCTCAGCAGTAGAGTGCTTGCCTATGCCTACCATGTGCAAGGCCCCACATCCTCCGCACAACAAAAGAAAAAAAAAAAAGTAAAGCTCAAATCAGGTAACCTGGGATTAGTTCCTGGCTCCATCCTCAGTGAGGTTTGCCCCCATGAATCAGTGTGTGCTCTGTGTGTGTTCCCCCATGCTTAAAGCAAGACTAATAGCAGTGCCTGTCTCCTGGAATCATTAGGATTTGGGGAGAGAATGCATTTAAAGCCAT